CCAGCCAATGTTTCCCATTCGACGACCCAGCTCACACAATAGATGAGTGCTTTTCGGAGCTTGAACATGATGGTGACGCCAAGCCTGCCACTGAGGACTGTTGTACGGCCGGTTTACGAGGAATCATGTCATCTTATCGCGAAGGATTCATGGTGCAGAATCCTTTCGGATCTGAGAACCATAACCCAAGCCCCCTTGCGTTACACAGAAGCGAAATATTACTGATCAGACTTGGCTCTTCTGAGAGATCTTCTAGAGCAAAAACAAAAAGAAAGCCTTTCTCTCACGTGGGAGAAAAAAAAGCAAAGTGGCGGTTTGATCCCGATGAATGAGAGCATGGAGAAAGCCTTGACTGCCCTGGTCACGCTAACATCAGACATCGTCCCTCTACACTGCCTCTTCCGAGACAAAATATATGAAACCAACCAATAGGTTAGGTGAACAAGTCCGCTACCGCTCGCCAAGAAACCTTTCCTTTTTTTTTTTGGCTCTTTTTTTTTTCAATTAATTTTGGGTTTTTTTTTATTTTCATTTTTTTTTTTTATTTTTTTTTTTATTTTTTTTTTTAATTTTTATTTTTTTCAAAAAGAAGAGGGCCGTTGCAAGATTGTGAAAGGGATTACATCAATTCGAAAAGACGTCGACTAGAGTCCCATTTGGATATTTCATCCACGACTTGCCTAGAACTCAAGATGAGAGGTGTAACAAAAGGAGTATATCCAAGGTTTCATATCAAGTCAAAGGTCTCAACTATTTTGTCCAGGACGAGAGACTGCCTTCCACCAGCGCTCCCAAAGAAGAAAGGGTAACAAAAGCTACGAAAACTGCATCCACGTCGAAGCCAGACTAACGAGCTACGGTGACAATGGTGACACATAACCAACAATAAAGAGGCTACGTCTCCGTCAGCCCGCGGAAGCACCTCAGCTTATGTGCATGGAAGGAAGACTGGGCATACCCTGACCAGCTCCTACTATGGTATACTGGTACAATTTCCATTTCTCTAGAAGGAGTAACTTGTCCGATTCATCATATCATATTCTGCAACTTAATTCAGATTTCAAGGACTATTCGAAACGATGAATATAAGCTTGAAAGTAACAGCAATGTTTTCATGTGTTTTTGTCTTTACCTACTAAATAGGGACAAGCATTGAAGTTAGGCACCGTCCTATCAAGACCTTTTATTCATCTTAAGTCCAACAGACCAACCAAACCCCATTCAACACCTTTTCCGATTAAAAGAGGTTAACCCCGGAGAGAAGGATTTCCGTGTAACCATATAGCTGCGGAGCTGCGTAAGCGGGATGGAATCATTCAGCCCAGCACCCCAGCACCCCAGTTCCAATTCCAGTTACCAGTTTCAAATGATGAGTCGCGGGATGGCGTCTGTCCGGACCTTGTGTTTTTTTGATCCAGATCCACACACTTAGGTATCCATGGATGAATGAATGAATGGGAAATCGAAAATGGACTAGAAAGCTATCTGCTCATGATAGGAGAGCAGGGTAGGAATTCCCATGTTTGGGGGAATGGGATTTTTTGGACTTTGATGAGGGATGGGAACGGATATCGATGGGGATGGGGATGGGTCAGATTTACTGGGTGGGATTGACAAGGGGGGTGACTAGGTAAGCACTTGCACCTGATTTGAGTTCCTAAGGACCATTATACTTGGAATGTAAAAGATGTTGAGTAGGTAGATAGATGTTGTGAGGGTTGAGGGGTGAGATGTGGTGAGGTGTGGCATATACACAAAACTGTTCATATGCGGACTCACTTCCTATGATGATATTGTCCTTGGCACTAACTAGGTTATGGGTTTGAAGACTAGACTAGTCACTCGGTCGTGCCGCAAACAACAGGAAGACTTAAGAAATGTCCTTTGCACGGACGACGATAATGCTATCAGGAAATCGTAACGAGGCTACCTAGACGCAAGGGATCGGCGTTTGACTTGCTGGTTATTCTGCCAGAGTGGCCAACAACATGAGAAGAGGCTGAAGTTGGTTGTATGGTAGTGGCCAACAGAGTAACGACTGGAAGGCAGGGCCAGATGTTAGGGAGGTCGAAAGTGCACAAGAAAGAGAGAAAAGAGAATGGAAGAGAGGAAAGGGTGGCGATGACGGATTTTAAAAACAGGACGGGCGCTCCGTCTCCGGGGGGAAAGGGGAAGGGGAGGAGAAGGGGAGTGTCTCTTCTCTTCAGGAAAGCATGAAGACAACTTGAACACCATCTGAGTGTCATGCTGGGTATGGAACTGAGTAGGTATCGAAGGCGAGGATGAACTGCGAGATGAGAGGAAGCATCGAGTATTGGTATAGCTAGTTCTAACTTTGTATGATTTCTCCGTAACACCGCGATGCAAATACGCCTTCTAGAGTAAACTAAACGATACAAAACCCTAAGCAGAACAAACAAACGTGACCGCCACTGCCTGTCGAACTATACTGACAATTGAACTGACAACGAAGCACTCTAGGCCTCGACCTTCTCACCGTCCTTCTTGTTCTTGCTTCTCTTCCTCTTCTTTTTCCTCTCTCCCTCAATGATATTATCCGCTCCCTGTTCACCAGCGGCAGTCTCCTTCTTCTCTTCCTTCTTCTCCTCCTTCTTCTTCTCGCCACTCTTCTTCCCATCCTTGTTCTCACCCCTCTTCTTATGCTTAACTGCACTCTCGTCCTTCTTGCCAAGGGGCGTACCATCCTCGTCCAGCGCCTCGAACCCAAAGGTAGGGCCAGTCGCTTCGTACTCCCTGCCAAACGTCTCGCGACGCCACTGCCTGAGACGGGCCTTCTTACCAAGCTTCTTGCGTTCCTTGCGCTTCTTCTCGGCGTCGCGGAAAGTAGCCAGCTTCTTGAGGCCGGCGAACTCGTTGAGCGCGGCGTCCGAGGGCGCCAACAAGATATCGCGCGCCGTCATGCCGAACGAGACGGGCGAGGTCTCGCGGTAGCGGAACGGGAACAGGTTCTCCTTGTACTTCTTATCCTTAGGGGCGGAAAGCGCGCGAGGAGTGTCGAGTTCCATCTTGGTATCGACCAAAGCTTCGAGCTTGGCCAGTTCCGCCTTGGCTGCCCGCTTGGAGGCTTGCTTCTCCTTCTTGATGTCGGCGGTGGTCTTGCGCTTCTTGGAGGGACGGCCTTCGTCTTCATCGGCGGAGAGGTCGGAGCCGAGGTCGGCATCCTCGTCTTCGGCTTTTTGGTCGTCGCCGTTGGGCTTGGGGAGATCTAGATCAGAAAGGACAACATCGGGCGCGTCGTCGAAGTCGGGGATGATGTCCTTGATGTCGATATCGTCGTCCCACTCTGGCTTCTTGGGCAGCTTCTTCTTCTTCTTCTTGGATTTGCCGTCCTCGTTGTCCTCGTCGTCCTCCTCGTCGCTGCCGGACACGTCGCCTTCTCCCTCGGCGTAGTACTCCTCGCCGAACTGCTTGCGCATCTCTTCCTCCCACCGGTCGTTGTCCCAGGCGTCCTCGAGGAACTTCATCCACTCCTCGTCGGACAGCTCCTTGCCGGTGAGACCGGCAGCCTTCTTGATCTTGGATAGCTTCTCGGCCGCCTCGTCAATCTTGAGACGACGCAGACGAGCACGCTCCTCCTCACGCTGCTTCTTCTCGGCCTCCTTACGCTCCTTCTCGAGCTGTCTCTGCTTCTTTCTGCCCGTGAGCTCCTCCTTTCTGACCGACTTGGCGTTGGCCAGGTTACGCGAGTACGTCTTGAGCAACTCGTTGCTCTTGTTGGGGTCCTCGAACCGCATGTTGTAGGCGTGCTCAAACTCCTCGGCCATCTCGGGGAAGTTGTCCTCGCCCTCGTCCGACTCGAAAGCCTCCCAGCGCGAGCCGTCGGCGGGCGCCCAGGCCTTGGACTGCATGAATTTGGAAAGGAACTCCTCGGGGTTCTTGTCAGCGTTCTTGACGTCGAGCTCGTTAAGATCAATCGCTTTGGCGCGCGATGGGTGAACGCCGTTCTCGGTAGGCGCCTCCTCCTTCTTGACGGGCTTGATGAAGGCGTCGTCGTCGCTCCACTCCTCGTCTTCGCCGACAGCGGCATTGATCTCGGACAGAATGTTCTGCTTCAGGTTGGCTTGTTCCTCGGCATAGGTCTTGGGCTTGGGCGCGTCATCTTCATCGGCACCGATGTCACCGGCCATGTACCTCTCGCGGTGGTAGTCGCGCAGGGTCATGGGCTTCTCCTTCTTCTCCTTGACGGGCTGGCCCTCGGCGTCAATTGGCGTGTAGAAAACGGCCTCCTTGTCGTAGATGCGGGGGTCCCTCTTCTTGATGGCTTCTAGGGTGGCGTTGATTTCGGCGTCGAGGTCCTCGGTGACAAGGAAGCCCTCATCGTCTTCGGTCTCGTCTTCGGAAGAGTCCTCTTCGTCCTCGTCTTCGCCTAGCCCACCCTCCTTCTTGGACTTGAACTTTTCCTCGAGACGGTGGAGTTCCTCGCGCTTCTTGTTGTGCTCAAAACGGCGGGCGTACTCCTCATTGATCTTGAGGTCGGCAGTGGTGCCGAGGGTGGCACCGCCGTCCTGCTCGTCTTCGCTGGAGGCATCATCGTCGAACAGACCCTTTCTAGGCACAATGGGATCGGTATTGGCGCCTGTGACTCTGGCTTTCGCCGCTTTTGACTTTGGGCGAGGCATCTTGAGGTCGGCTAGATTTGAAGATGCTAGGGCGAAGGGGTGGAAAGTCAATCCTGGCGCATAAAGGATGGAAGACTTCGTTGCGACTTTGACGCCCCCAAATTTTCGTGAACTTTTTAGTGGGGCCCTTTTCAAAGCCCAGTTCCCTACAGCTGGTGGTACATACCTATGTAGTCCAATTTGCCTGCCGCCAGATTGCGCACGGTTCACAAAGGCATACATATGTGGCTATGAATCTTGGCATGGAGGGGAAGTTGGAGTCCACTCACAGCGCAAGCGAGGGGGGACATCGAGGACATGCGACGCCTGCCCGTGGCCCGATGCCTGCTGGATCCCGGCGAGCCTGGCTTTCCGACTGGGAGGGAACAAGCTCCATCCATTCACTCTCATTGCTGCCGTCGGGTCTACCTATCACGTCACACTCCGATTCCCAACCTACCCATCAACGAACGATCCATCTTCAAACATATTTTGTCTTCCAACAGGCAGCCGCCCAACGTCCTCCCTTCCACCACTGCTCTGTCGCTGTCGCATTTTCAAAAGATAGCCGTCCTTGTTGCCATTACTTGCTGGAGTTGCTCGCTGCCGCAAGCCCCGCCGTTTCCACAACCCATCCACCCAGATTTATAACAACATCACAACAATGGCCGATACGAACGCGCCCAAGCCGAGCAGCAGCGTCAAGCTGGTGCTTCTAGGTGAAGCTGCTGTCGGAAAGGTGCGCAGTTTTCTGCTCCAAAACCACCATGCGCGAGAAACACATGCCTAACACAAATCGTTCCACAGTCGTCGCTCGTCCTCCGATTCGTCAACAATGACTTCCAAGAGAACAAGGAGCCCACGATAGGAGGTTAGTTCCTGAAGTCATGACAACTTTCTTTGCACCAGTCTAGCTGACACTTTTTTGCAGCCGCCTTCCTAACCCAGAAGTGCAACCTGCCCACGAGGACGATCAAGTTCGAGATTTGGGATACCGCAGGCCAGGAGCGCTTCGCCTCTCTAGCGCCCATGTACTACCGCAACGCCCAAGCCGCCCTTGTCGTTTACGACCTGACGAAACCTACTTCACTCATCAAGGCCAAGCACTGGGTCGCCGAGCTCCAGCGACAAGCGTCTCCCGGCATCGTCATCGCGCTCGTGGGCAACAAGTTGGATCTGACCAGCGACTCGGCCGGCTCTGCCGAGGTTTCCGGAGGCGGCGACGAAAATGCGGAGGATTCGGGCGACGCACGCAAGATCTCGACCGACGAGGCCAAGGCATACGCCGAGGAGGAGGGTCTCTTGTTCTTTGAGACTTCGGCCAAGACCGGACATAACGTCACCGAGGTTTTTACAGCCATTGCGAACGCCATCCCCGAGACGTCGTTGAAGAGCGCGCGTGGGCCTGGTGCCTCGCATGCCGGTGTCAGCCGCACAGAAGAGCAGAGGGTCAACCTTAACGGGCCGCGGGATCTCGAGGCAAAGGAAGGTTGCGCCTGTTAAGGGACGATGGATGGGTGAAGGGAAGGAGGGATTTGGAGAAGATATTGAAGGGGCGGTGCGGATATCCACCAGGAGGGGCTGCGGAGTGGGATACTGATGAGAATAAGGGCGTCCATCTTCCGGTTGACGAACAACAGAGCTTTGCATTTTACAGACGGGTTAACGGAGTGGGCGGTCACATTGGGCGGGTTCATTACGGAGTATGCTTGTTTTCTTCTTTCAATCTTTCAATTTCCATGTCTTATCATCGAAGCAGAATTTACAGACGCAGCAGTAACAGGCTAATGGAGTTTTTGTCACATATCCTTACCTTGGAGCGGGCGGTTCGATGCCTGTTGGTCAAGTTTGCTGGTATCCTTAATTTTTCCATACTCACATACTATGATAAGCCACATCATGAATACAAGACGGAATACGGAAACCTTGTTGGACCTATTACGAATCCGAGCCCTGTGGTCCTGGCATGCCGAGTATGACTGATTCTATTGATAAGGTTAACTAAATCAACACGTTTGGGTGAAGAGTAAGTGCCCACCTTCACTGCGCCTAAACCCATCATCACCAATACGGAATGGCTTCACCACATGCTGCGGCCTACTTGTAATAAACCAAGTGTTCAACTCGTTTGATCTTGTAAACGACCTTGTCGTTCTCTTGGTCAATAGCCTCGGCTACTGCTACATGTTATTGTGCTGGCCACGGCCTCGAGACTGCGGCCCGGGCTGCACTCATGCTCAATGCCAGCTGCGAGGCAAGTGGTCCATACCTTCTATAATAGCCCAAATAGTTCCCACCTATCGAACCTACCCACCTAAGCGGTTAGTGGGGCGTTAGACAGTGAAGGCACGTGCGTCAAGACCCGCCAAAAAATCGCATCCCGCCCCAATTCGGTTTGAGCGCCGAGAAAACGCGACACACCACCAGTCACTTCCACTTCAGTTCGACTTGTAGACTGCAACTGCAACTTGCAGCAGCAGCAGCAGCAGCAGCAGCAAGACTCTCACCTCGCCTCACGGATTGGCCTTTTGGGCAGAGCGACCTCGAAACTGTAGTCTACTCTGTGAGTATTGAGAGACATTTGCGCCTCGTCAACCTTTGAGGCCCCTCACTAAGCCTGCGTGGGCTCGGCAACGTGAGCTCCGGCTTGCATTTTTTTTTCGCAACAAGCAACACCACCGAGCAGCATTTGATACGAGAGACATCGCGAATCACATCACCCAGCGATATTTCATACCTTCCTTGGAAGACAGGACGCCAACGAGCGCCTCTCCATGTCCTTGGACTCTTCATTCCTACACCTCCTCTGTCTCTAGGAGGCCGGTTGCGCCTAGGTTGTTGAAGTGCAGGAAATCGCAATGGCGGCCGCGATATCAGAAGAGGCTCTCGCCGAGGTCATCAGGTTCGTCTCTCCTACCCCGCCATCTCGCACTATTCAGGATGCACCCTGGTGGCAGGTATGCTAACGACCACAACAGAACTCTGAGCCCAGAAGACATCCCGGCGAAACTGAAATGCGCCATCTGCAGTAGATTGGCTGCGAATGCCTTCAGGTTGCCCTGCTGCGAACAAACCATTTGCGAAGACTGCCGGTCAACACTACCTACCTCTTGCCCCGTATGCGAACACTCGCCGCTTTCGGCCGAAGACGCCAAACCGCACAAGTCTCTACGGACCACCATCAGAGTCTTCCTCAAGACATATTTGAAAAAGCAGCAAGACGCACGCGCCAAGGAGTCAGCCCCTCCTACCCCCATTGAGTCGACACCAGTGTCTACCACGGCACCACAGCTACCTTTGCCCAGCGATTCAGCGCTTGAGGAACAGGCCTCCGCACCAGAGCAGCAGCAGCCAGAAGAGCCTGCGCCGGCGGCTGATGAGCAAGGTGCCAGAGACGAACATGCAGGAGCCGAGGGTCAAGCGGGAGAAGAAGCTCCCAAGGTAGAAGGTGCTGACTCGGCGGACCACGAAGCCGACCAAGATGTAAGCGAAATCGGTCAGATATTGCTGGCCATGACCACGGGTCACTGACCAGATGACAGGCTACCGAAAACCCTACCGAAAATGCTGCCGAGGAAGAAGCAGCCGACGGAACGCCTGCCGAAGCGGAGGGCGACGCGGCCGAAAATCCCCAAGAGACAAAGGACGGCGAAGAGAATGAAGAAAACGCCGAGGGCGACGATGTACACCCAAAGCCCGCTGGAGGATTTGGATTCGGGATGAACGGCTTCCCCATGAACTTTGGCGGTGGCTTCGACCAAATGCAAATGATGATGGCCATGCAGAATGGCTTTCCAATGATGGGTGAGTTCGCCCCGATATGTGTTCTTCTCTTCAAAAGCACACCAGATAACTAACCACCCATGACACAGGTATGCCAGGCATGAACATGGATCCGATGAGCGCGATGCAGCAAATGTACATGAACGGGGGTTTTTCTGGCATGGGCATGAGCGGCATGAACATGGGAATGGGAGGATTTAGCGGCGCAGGCGGCAATGAATCGAATAATAACTGGAACGGGCAGCAGTCATCATGGAATGTCGGCCAAGATAATTTCAATCATCCAAATGCTTCTGGCATGGGCAATGGTGATTATGGCTCGTTTAACTCTGGCTCCTTCCAACAAGGCAACTTCAATTCAGGTAATTATGGCAACGGCCAGTTCAATGACTATCGCCGGGGTGGATACGGATTCCGTGGCGGTAGAGGACGTGGCCGGGGAGGCTACGGTTACGGTGGCGGCTATGGCGGTCGTGGCGGCTACAACAACGGCTACGGCAACATGGGCGGCATGAACGGTCCGATGGGCATGGGCGGCAACTATGGGGGAGACCAGAACTACCCGAACCAACAGTACGGGGCAGGCATGGGTGGCTCCATGCACAACGGCGGTTTCCCTGGCGGCAGCGTCAGTGGCGCTTCCCAAGATGGCAACAACGAGAACAAAGGCGAGGGTGCTGCAAGTGCTGACCCGAACGTGGACGAGTTTGGCCGCTCGTTGCGCGAAGACACTGGAAAGAAGGAGACCGAAGATGGCGACGCTGCTGCTGAACAAGATGCTCAAGGAGCTGACGGTGAAGCGAAACCTCCTGCTACTGCTGAGACTGATGGTGATGCCGAGAATGCCACCGCCGCACCCAACGGTGATGCCACAAACCCCGATGCCGGCGCCGAAGGTGATGAAGGATACGCTCACAATGGCTACATGAATGGCGACCCTGAAGGCATGTACCCCGGTGATGGCCCCGGCTTTATGGGACCTGGCGGTTTCGGCGGCAGCATGGGCTTCACCAACGGCTGGAACGGTCCGGGAGGATTTGGCATGAGTATGGGAGGTGATGGTTACGGAGCCATGGGTGGCATGATGCCCCTTGGACCTCCCCAGCCCCCGCCCGTCAACCCAGATGTGCCCGCCAATGCGCCCAAGGGTCCCAAGGCCATGCTAAGAGGACTTCCCAACACCAGTATCAAACATCTCCAAGCTAGAGGCTGGGTAGATAATGAGAACAAGGCGCAAACACCAAACTCCTTTGGTCACGGCGGCCCTGGTTCGTCCCATCATGGATCGCGGTTTGCCAGTCCTTCCGCGACCGCCGACCGAGGCCGGTCTAGGTCCCGAGATAGGGATGATGACTACCACGGCGGAAGAGATGACAGGGATAGGGACTACTACCACCGTGAGCGTTCAGATAGGGACAGAGAGCGTGAGCGCCGAGATCGTCGTGAACGATCATATTCCCCCGGTGCCGATGAGCGCAAGGAACACCGTGACCGACGCAGAGAAAGACGTCAGCGCTCCGCTAGTCCCGGTGGCGCTGACGCCGCTCATGGCGCCGAAGGAACCAACAACGATGGCGACGATCAACAACATGGCCACTCCAGCAGCAGCAGGAGACACAGGAGGAAGCACACCTCCACTACCGTAGCGGACGAAGAAGGCGGCAACCAGGAACGTTCCCGGTCCGCATCCCCTCCCGCCTCCGGTGTCGCCGGCGAAGAGTCATCCCGCCGGTCCCACCGCAGCAGCCGTAAGGAGCGTGACTCGGAGAAGCGCCGCGACCGTTCAGACCGCGATAGGGAGCGCGACAGAGAGCGTGAGTCCCGTTCCGACCGCAAGGAGCGCAAGGAAGGCCACAGCAGCAGCAGCCGTCGCGACCGTGACCGTTCCGACCGGGACAACAGAGACAGCGGAGGTCGCAGCCACCGTGACGATCGTGACCGGGATCGCGGCGACCGGGACCGAGACCGCGACCGCGACCGTTCCGACCGCAAAGACCGTAAGGAAGGAAGCGGTCACGGCAGCAGCAGCCGTCGCGATCGTGACCGTGGCGATCGAGGAGACCGTGACAGAGATAGAGACCGCAGTCACAGAGATGAGCGTGATCGTGATCGCGACCGGGATAGGGAGAGAGATAGGGATCGCTCGGATAGACACCGCTCGTCCAAGAAGTCTTCTTCTTCCAACAACCACGATGCCGATGCTGCGGACGCCCACCTCGACCGACGCTCCTCCCTTGCTTCTAACAATGCCGCCGCTGGCCCAGGACCAGCAGCCAACGGCTCTCTAGACCCGCATGCCGCCGAGCGTGCTGCTCGTGATCGCGAGCGTCTGCTTAAGGAGACGAGACGGATGGCTAGTCTTGCGTCGAGCTTTAGTCTGGCAGGTAGCAAGCGAAGTCGGGAAAGCCGAGGCGGCGGCGGCGGCGACAAGGACGAAGAGCGGGAGTCGAAGAGCAGAAGAAAAGAAAGTGGAAGGACGGCTAGGGGAAGAGGAGAAGTAGTCGCCATCTCAATGGAGGATGAAGAGGAGAGGATGAGAAGGCTGGAGGCGGAAAGGGAGGCGGCGAGGTATGATGATTAGAAGTCTACTGGGCCGTCTTTGCGAGAGGAGCAACAGGGGGGGTCAGGGAGGTCAGGGGCTGGGACGACGCGGGCCGAGGTTCAAGATTGGGAGGTTTGAGGGAGAGCAAAGTGACAGCCAAAGACCCAGGAAGAGAGAGAAAGAAAGAAAGTGGAGACGTGACCCGAGTAAGGAGACGAGGAGGGCGTTGTGGAGGGCATGGCGGAGGGCAAAATAACCAAGAGTGAAAGCGAACCACTAGGGGTGTGACTGGGTGGTAGCATTTCAAAACTTGGCTGGTTCTTCTTGAAGCAGTGAGAAATGAAAAGAGAGAGAGAGAAAGGCAGCAGCGAAGAATTGCAAGTAAAAAAAGTACAACGAATTATCAAAAAGGAAGCCAAAGGGGTGAGCGGCCTTTGAATGTTTTGCGTGTTGTGTCTTGTCTTGCTCGCTGGTTTTTTTTTTTTTCCGTTTTCTTTTCTTTGTCTTTTTCCCTTGCGTTGATTTCATTGTTGGTGTGGTTCTCCGCTGTGGTGCTGTTGTTGTCGTTGATCTGTGGAACGTTTGTGTCGAAAACAAACATGAAAAAGGGGCGTAAGTTGAATTGATGGACTTGAGTTGATTCAGTCAAAGCGATGATTATCATGTACAACACCACGAAAGCGTCCTTGCTTGTATTTGTCATTCAACGACATAGGTAGCTTCCAGGAGGACGGAGGGCATATCTTCTGTTTTGTAAGAGAATCAGGAAGACAGAAAGACACGCAGAGAAGGGAAGCAGTTATACATATCAACGAGTTTGTGTGTGGATATGGTAGATGGGGATCGTCGAGTCGGGAGGTTAGTATGTCATCGTTGTTATCGTAGGTCTCTACGGCTGTACAAACCAAGTACATAGATGGTGGCAGGGTAGGTAGATGTGTTTGGTAATTGTACTATACATGAATATGAGCATAACGTCAAAGAATTCCGCTGTTACGGTGCATTGTTCGAGTGTCTTGTGAGGTAGGTGGCTTTTGGATGGGTGTCTCCAAATAATCCATATGGCTTCAATATTGGGTTAGACTCGTGAACCTTTTTCAGGTCCAGTCCCTTCCTCACATTGCAGCAACTTGATAAGCCCTCGGTTTTCAACAGACAGTCACATACGACCATACCCACTGGAAAACTCGGGATCCCGTCCGCTCTCCCATAGATAAGCCAGTGAGGTCCAGACTAGTAGTTGGGTCGGTGACGACCAGCGAATCCCTGGTGTTGTATGTTTTCTTTTCTCTTTTTTTCGTCCTGATCTTGCTCTCCATGATCTTGATCGAGGCATATCTTGTTTCCGTCTTTGAATTTGTTTTGGCAGCCTTTTACTTATTCTGTGGTTCTCATGAGGGCCTGATGTTGATGCACCTGAATAGCCTCATGGGCTGCGCATCATGCTCAAGAGGATTCTCGAGCGAGAAAGTGTACTTATCAAAGAATCAAAAGAAGATTTGGTCTCGTCTCATGGTGTATCTTGCTATGAGAAAGGGGTAGTGTGGTTTTTTTGACGCACTTTACCTTCTTCTGACTTAGGGGAACTCAAACAAACCCAAGAAACAAACACAGTTACCGTCTGTGATTCAGGCACGGATACTGGGAATCGTAGTAACGAGGCTCATCCTCTCAGAAGTTTCCGAAGCCATCTCTTGAACCTCATCAGGGATAGCGGCCCCGTACTCATTCATCACCTCATCCCTGATCATAGTCGCCTCGTCCAGAAGCGCCTGATCCATGAGCGAATCCCTGCAAATCTCCAGCAGCCCAACAGCGAATTCCTTTTTGCTATAAGCCAGGGCCTTGGTCACCGTGGCATCCGACTGGATCTTTCCAACCGAGAGCAACAGCTGGGCTGATCTTTGCTTGAGGGGTCCAAACTGATGCTGCAGCATGATGCAGTTTGTGTTGGTGGTGTCTGCCAAGGTTGAGACTCCTGGGATGAGCGCCGCGGTCTGCTTCGCTGCGCTCAATCGAGTGTCCAACGTCATGCGCTTCACTCGCAATTTGTCCAGCTCGTTTGCTGCTTCGTTGTACTTTCTTTGAGCATCTTTCAAGAGCCGGTTGGCTTCGTCTAGTTCGCGTTGTAGGTGGAAGGGGTCGAGTGGGCCTTTGTTGATGGCGTTGCCGATGCCGAGGGTGATGATGGAGAACTAACAGCAATGGGCGTCGGTACGTTGGTAAGTTTTTGGCCATTGGATGAGAACAAAACGAAAAAAGGTCCATGGACGGATATGCTTACAAAGATATCGCTGGCCAGCTTAGCATCTTGGCTGCTAGAAATCTTGTCATGAAGACGACTGACTGCCTGCGACTGCTTCTTTACGCTGTCTTGCAGGACACTGAAGCTTTTTTCAGCGTTGTTGATCTGGCCTTGCACGTTTTTCAACTCGTTGTCGTTGTTCTCGAGCAAAAGGTCAATATCTTGCTTGGCCGGGTTGATGACCATATTTCCAATCTCCAGGACCTGGGCGTGGAGCTGGCCGACCTTCTCCAAGCCGCCCTGTGCACGGTCCTCAACCTCCTTGAATGCCTGGACGGCCTGCTTGAGAAGCTCATCTCGCTGGGTGGTGTCCGGCTCGCGATTGTCGTAATCGCCACGGATGAAGACGGCCAGCCTGTAGAGCTTGGTCATGGCCATCTCGAGCTTGTCGATGACGTCCTTGCCGCATTGGTACACTATGGGATTCAAGCTGTCCTGGATCTCCTGAAGCTGAGTGCCGGCGGTATTCAGTTTGTTCTGGAGAGTGATCACGTTGACATCTTGTTTCGGAGTCCCTAGAGTCGAAATGGGTGCTCCTATAACCTGGGCTATCCCGAACAGAGCTACCAGAATGGCAGGGTCGATCTGGGATCTTCCGACAAGACCCATGTTGGTCGTGCTGAAGAGGTTCATGACAGTAAGGGCATCATCCATGATGATGGGCGTTGTAAGCGTGGGTAAAGGTAGTAGAAGGATGGTTGTGGTAACTAAAGAAATAAATTGAGGTGAGGACAAGCGATGATAAGTATGGTGGTGATACTGACCGGGCAGTTAGGTAAAACTATTGCATCAAGTATTTATGTGTTGTCGTTCATCCGAGGAACTTCACACCGAATACCACCAAATGGAAAATGGCCAGTGGGCTACTGTGTAAGCCGCCCCATCGGACGCCCCTTCGGCGATGCCCAACGGTTTCCACCTCGATGAAGATAGTTTCCTTAAAAGGGATACTCCATCTACCTACCTACATTTGCATATTGACAGCTGGTGATGTGACCTCAGCTTCAGCAGAACAAAGCCAATCCGGCCAAATGTTTCTTTGTACTCGAGCCTCGTGGTTGGCTGTTTTCCACTTTGCTTCTTGTCACATGTTGATGTTGATGTGTTTCGAAGATCAAGCCTTCCTTTTCTGGAATAACACGCTTGCGCAGTACTTCGCTGGCACAGCGTGGACCCTTAAAAGACAACTGTCGAGTTTGCGCTAAGGAAACCATCATGGAGGAGCATCAGAACTGGAGCCCCGCTGTCTTGACGAGATGGACGTAGACGGGGAAGACATGATTGTTGGCAGTTGGTGCAGTCTTGAAGTTTGTAGGCCTGCCTATAAGTATCGGCTCGAACCTTCGCATCGATCGTGTTGAATCGCCAGTCATCACCCCAATTCTTATCCTCAACCGCAACCAACACCATCAAGTTTCCCTTGATCCCACAAGCAAATACTTCCGCTCTTTCTCTCTGGGACGTACCTTTCAGCACGTCACCATGCCTTCCGATGCCCAAGATCTCCAGGTCGTCCTGGCCGCCCAGGAGAAGAGAGAGCTCGCTCCCAACGTCTCCTCTCAAGTAATTAACGAGATGAAGAGCAGTCTCATCTTCCAATTTGACTGGGCACAGCTGCTCCAGGCCGCGCCCACATCCATCAGCTGTATGGGAGCCTGCTTCGTTGCTAGCTCGAGCCCGAATGCTGTTGTTCACCTTGAACCGCCCAAGGATAAGGGGTTCCAGTACTTGAGGTATGTCACAAACTGCACAGATCTTCCACTGTTGTGACTGAGACTGACCGACCAACCAAACAAAAGGTACACCTCGGTTCAAGCCAATCTTGTTGAGTGCGGTAACATGGGCCGCATGGCATTTGTTTCAGCGGAGAAGGGTATGGGTACCATTCAGTTGACGTCGACAATCATCAACGGCAAGGTCAGTTGTACGATCTCCACAGGCCTGAACTAGCTACCCGTGGAGATAGGATGCCTTTTTAACCCATCCCCACTCTCTCACAGATGGGGATGGGTCAGAATGGCACCCTATCTCCACGGGTAGTGTATCGCTGGATTTCTGAGCGCGCAGCATACCAACGAACCTATGTACCCTTGAAGTGATGAGAACTGACAGCCAATGAATAATTGGATAGATCAACGACATCGTGGCCATCATTGGCGAGCCCGCGTCCGCCAAGAATATGTTGCGCCCGCAGCTAAATGCCCTGAAGCAAGGATCAACCACTTGTCTCGATGAAGCAAAGGAAATGGACAAGAAGTTCGAGGATTGGCTCCTGTACGTTTGCGAGATGCACGCAGCTTGCGTCCAACAGGAAAACACTACTAGAGAAGCTATACTGAGCAACGAGATCTGCGTCGCTGCCGAGCAAACCCGCTTGGACTATCAGAAGTCAACCGTTGAAGAAGCCGAGAAGGCCTTCAAAATGATGGGAAAACAGGTTGAAACGGCTTCTGAGGCTTTCAAGAAGGCCTCAGACCAGTTCCCCACTGGGTAAGAAAGCTGCTTTTTCCTAGACATCAAGGTCGCCAGGGCGTTTGTTGCTGACAAAACTTTCTGTAGTTGGGATATCATGGGCCAGCAAATTGTCGGTGACTTGGTAGGAGCCGTCACAAACCTGGGCAACTCATTTGCCCATGCCTTCATTTCCAACCTCAACCCGATCGCCAAGGTCGAGGCAGGTGCTTCCATTGTCGGAGGCTTTCTCAAACCCAAACATGACGAGTCTGTGCCCGAGATTCCGGCGTCAGACCCTGTGCCGCCAACCGCCGCGCCCGAGAATGCCACTGACCCAGCATACGTTGAAGCCGTTCGGCTTGACCATATCCTGGCCATCCTGCATGTTATTGTCAGTGGAAAGAACACGGAGGGGAATATTGATTGGGAACAGGCTCGTAGTGGCGGAACTGGGGTAGATTCCAAGAAGAACAGCATCGGTTATGTGCAGACGATGTTAGAGGACGCAAAGACACGCTTCTCTCAGGTGGCTACGACGTCCGATCCCAGCCAAACGTTGTCTACCATCATTGATGTGTCTCTCCAGGTACAGTTTCAGCTTGGATACACAAATTGCGTTCTTTTCTGAAAGAGATAACTAACCTTGGATAACACATACCGTAGGTCGCCACTGGAATCAACGACCAAGTTAAGAAGTCCGGCAGCATGTCATCAGAGTGGCCGGCCAAAGACTCTGAGATCGTCAAGAAGTGGCAGTCAGATTTTGCCGCGCAATATCCGAAGGCAAACACTCTCATCGCGACGGCCAAAACCATTCCAGGTGTTGCCTCTAATGGTGTATGTACCCCTCCTTTTCAGTCTACCCGTATTTTTCGAAAATGACACAGAGCTAACATGGCCATGACCATAGATCCCTTTGATGTCTGACTCGGCACAGCGCACTGCGCAGATCAGTGCCAAGAGTGCTCAGGCGCAGGCGCTGCTGGAAACCGCGAAGAACAGGTTGACAACGACACAGCAGATGCTGACCACTGCCCAAGACAACTATGTCAAATCCACCGACATGCTTTTGGAGCAGAAGAACAAGCTGGGTCAGATCCAGGCTACTCTGACCAAGCTGACCAAGGAAAACGTTTCTCTTGTATGTCCATACCATACTCGGTCATGGCGATGCCAGTCCCGGGATTCGGAAGGGTTGCTGACTTGCGTGTATTGAATAGGCCGAGATCAAGCGGGTCCTCATCGAGTGTATCAAACTCATCATCAATCTCAAGGAGCAGGTGACGAACCTGGTTCGATTTTTCAAAGCCATGGAGTCACTTGTCGAAATGTGCATCCGCTTCCACGTCGATCCTTTCCTCGAGACCGTCAAGCTGATTGTTGCCGCTGACGGCACTGATCCGTACAAGGACCTCAAGATTGGCAACTACACTTACACGGACTTCCAGCGCTCGCAGCTGTACAGCGCGGCCGTGACGATGCGAGCGTACTTTGGCGTCTTTGGCGACATTGCCAAGATGTGGGTACAGCTCTCCAAGGACAGCATCATGCCGGGCCTCCGCATGTGCGACGACCTCTCGGTCACGGTTGATGACCAGGACGCATCGGCGCAGATGAAAAAGAAGATTGCGGTCCTCAACAAATGGGCGACAGATGCGGTCGACCAGGTGCAGAAGATTGCGCAGGATAAACAGCGGGAGATCATGAACGGCATGGACTCCCGCATCCAGGACGTGGCCGAGACAACGTCCCAGATCACGCCCCTGCCCGCGTCAACGGTCAAGGCTATCACCGACGGTACGGAGGTCACCAAGCAGGCGGCGCAGACGAACATCAAGGAGAAGTCTGAGAGCAACCCTCTTAGCAGATTCGGTAAGTCCACGGCCCTTCCTTGCCGTGAATTTGTAAACGACCGACTGACAAAATCTGTTAGCCATCATCGATGACTAAGGGGCTGAGCTGGAGCAATCTATTATGCTGGAGGTAGCATATGGGTGACTGCCTTTCGAAGGCTTCCATAGTTGAGAATTCCGATACAATGCAAGTTCCTTGGACAGATTCATCGTGGCAGTGAAGTGGACAAGCTGCACTCCAGAAAATCAACCGGCTGTTCCCAAGTCAGTTGATCGTCGTCTATGACAAAAAAGTCAAGAAAAAAAACATACAACACCAGGGATTCGCTGGTCGTCACCGACCCAACTACTAGTCTGGCCCTCACTGGCTTATCTATGGGAGAGCGGACGGGATCCCGAGTTTTCCAGTGGGTATGGTCGTATGTGCTTATTTTGGGCTGTTCTTAGACTTATATGAGAAAGCTCTAGTTGTACTTCTCTTTAGATTCTTTGACTGGGTCCGTGAATAACACCGTCGGGGGATCCCAGTTGACAAGACACATCTGGTTGACAGCGGCTGTACGATGACGCGTATCCATCCATCCGTCAACGATGGACCATGGAGGCATCTTGCTTGGATGTTGGCGATTTTCGAGCAGAGTCTCCAGGACAGATGGATGGATGGTGCAAGTCTTGTCGCAATATCGAAAAGGTTCAACTGTTGCTGTTGTGACTGCTCGTCATGGTGTGTCGATAAGGGAAGCAGGCCATTCAAGTCGGGAAACGTCTGGAATGGGTCGATTTCGGGGAGTTTCGAGTTCCATTCGGCGCCATTCAGGGCAACATGGAACATTCCATTGCGGGATCGTCAGTCATCGGAAGGTTGAAGTGAAGTTGAGTTGAAATGTGCGACGGTCCATGCGACGGAACCTTCTCCGTCGGCAGTTTCCTTCGTTACTTGGGGCGGAAGTGGGTAGCGGGGTTAGGTTAGCTAGTGGTCTTGGCCAGTTTTACCGCTGTGGCGCCCGCGTGTGTCCGACCCCCATGGACCCACCCGAGTGCCTTTCCAGATGGGGTCAGCAGGTCCACTGCCTCAGGGCGATCCATTACAGGAAGGCGGGGAACGACGGGAAATGGATGTCGTCGCTATCAGGTCCACTCGGATAGTGACTCTGGCTCCCAGCAAACGTCGAGTGCCGGGCCAGGTGTTGGACGGTTGGCCAGCGGTATGTATGCACCTACAAGGAGAAGCCCAGGGAAGGGAAGCTCCAAGCTCTCCTGCGTGCATTCCATGGATGGATCACGGTCACGGTGCTACAAGTCCGAATGGTGATAGGGGGCAACGACTCGGAATGAATCTTCCATTCAAAAAGAAGGCACCCAGTGCAGTGCCCCTCCTCATCATCATCATCATCTGTCATCACCACATCGCACATCCCCCTCCCTCGTACACTACACACATCCCATCACCCCGTCACCACGACTGCGCCTTGAAACCCAAACGACGATCCAGTGATCTCAGCTCTCCAACTGGTTCCGGGCGGGACGGTGTCCATTTGACCCCCGTTTCTCGCTGCATCTTGTTACTTTGTACTCCCCACTGTTTGCTATCTTCTTTGATCTCTCTCTTCCGCCCCCTTCGAGATCAAAATATCAAGCGCCATACTAGCTACCCATTCCGTGAACCTTCAACGCTTTCTCGACTCCCTTGTGTATGTAGATTGCTCTCTTTGCGATGCGCTCAAACAACGATGCCTTCGGGCGACCTCGCGGTTCCGACAATGACATTCCGTCTTTACGTCTACCGCCGGCGCCGCAAATGACGTTTTGCTTTGGCGATGAATCTTCAGTTGGTCCTCTGACGGGAAATCAGCCATCGTCGTTCGCTGGTCCGCACCGACACTTGCGCGACAACAAGAAGAAAACTCACGCTGTTGTCGAGGGCTCCGAAGCCCACCACCACGGACGGGCTCGGGGTCTCTCCCATAATCGACACAATCCCCATCATAGCACCCCAGAGCCAGAGAAGGAGACCGGCGCAAGCGGGAGCACGAGCACACGAACGCAACCCAAACACCAACACAAAAGCTACCCTCCAAACCAGATACTTGACACCCTAGACCACGTTATCGAAGACGCTGTTTATCCCAGACCATCCTCTACCACCCCGTCCAACGATTTGTCTCAAGCACCCTTTAGCCCCTTTCTTTTTAGCACAGGTCCTGCGTCCGCTGCCAGTGACACATCGTCGCGGCGCAATTCCATCTGCTGCCTCTCCGACGATTTTGACATGGCCAGTATTCCGCCCAGCGTCCACCCTGACGAGATCAACACCGAGCTCGAAAATCACCATCTCGAATCTAGCATGATGGACAGCGGTAGTGATCCCCAGCTCATCATGCCGAGCATCAAGATGCCCAGCCGGCGACCCTTTACCGACCAAGGAAAGAGCATGGGCCGGCTCAAGGTCCTGATTGCCGGCGACAGCGGCGTAGGCAAGACTTCGTTGATCAAGGCTATCGTTCAGTCTTGCGAACACATTGTGCATGTTGATCCAATCACTCCGTCACCCATGTCACCCCAACCTAGCTTGAAGAACTCGGTGACCCTAAAAGGAAAACAGACTAAAGGCGGTTCAAGGTCAAGCAGTAGGCGACAAAGCTCGAATGGCACAAGTCAAATCACCGAAGTCTATGCCAGCACAAAACCATACCCTCAGTGGTGGTCCGAGATCGATGACCTGAATGTGCTGAAACGAAGAAAGAGCATGGAGGATACCGTCTTGGATCGTAATATTTGCTTTGTCGATACTCCTGGCTATGGGAGTGGATCGTCTGTATGTTGTCTCTATCTGTACCGGATTGGATTATGCTGACTTTTCCGGCCAGAGTATGGATACCATCACGCCTGTGGTGCAGTATATCGAGTCCCAGATGCAGCGTATGAACGTTAACGCTCTCAATGATGGAGATATGTTGAACATGCTGGGTGGAGAGGGTGGTGTCCAGATTGATGTTGTTTTCTACCTGGTTTCAAACAGTAAGAGATCCAGGTTGGAAACCAAAGGACCTAGAACTAACACCTCTGCTAGGACTTCGTCCTGTTGATATCGCCTACCTTAACCATCTCAGCTCTCTCACGAACATCATCTTCCTCTTGTCTCAAGCCGACCTGATGTCACCCGAGCAAATATCAGCCAGCAAGGAACAAATCCAGGCTCAACTCCGAGAAGCAAACATCCGCCCCTTTTCTTTCTCCATCACGCCCTCAAGAACGGCATCTTCATCAACACTCTCTCCCTCGCCTCCCGATCCAGCAGAACAGGGCGTATATGCCATCTCCAGCGCCGCCGGCACCGACTATGACATGATGGACGCAAGTCTTCTTATGAGCACAGACTACGTCGAGCCTCTGGTACCATCCGAACTTTCCCGGCTTGTCGAGCGCGTCTTCAGTCCCGACGGCGCCTCCTGGCTTCGCCACTCGGCAGCCCGTAAGTACGTCCAGTGGCGCAAGAAATTAGTCTCTGAAAGATCAGCTGTTCCATCACCCACATCGCCTAGCAGTGTCTTTTCGCTATCTCCGTCATCCCATAACTCCCGCTCCGGCGGCGCCGCATCCTCCTTCCTCAACAGATACAACACCTCCGGTCCCATCGGCGCCACCTCGTCGTATGCTCTCGCCCGCATAACGGACCACACCCAGCGCGAGGAGAGACTGGCCCAAGTAAGACTGGCCAACTGGGCCACCGAGCTGCAAAAGAGCCTGGCACAAGAGCGGGCACAATACGAAGCTCTGGCGCGCAACGAACGGGCAGTCTGGTTGACCGAGAAAATCGGCGAATGCGTCATTGACGGAACCCTGGTTCCTATCCCTTCCACAAGCAGTAGGGACAGGAGCGGCTCGAGCAGGAGCCTCAGCACAAGAAGAAGAAGAGGGGATACTCGACAGGGTACTACCGATTGGCAGCAGCAGCAGCAGCAGGAAATGGGACTTTTCGGATTCGGTTTTCACAGTCACGGTCACGGTCATGGTTACGGTCATCGTCAGCACTACCAGCAACAAAGGTATCAAAAGCAGAGGCAGAGGGAGACAGATCCCCTGGGCCTGATGGAGATTGCGGATGAATTGATGTATAAAAGCCTCATTGCGCTGGAGGTTTTGGGAAGCTTGGGGGTCCTGGGCGGACTGGCTATTTGGGTTGGGAGGAATATGCAATTGCAGCCGCTAGAGTGGTTTGTGGGAGAGTGGAATCGGATTTGGCGGTGAGTTACATACATACCTGAAAGACTCGGGGTGTAAATTGGGAATTGGGGAGAGGAATACATATGAAGGAGAGGCGATAATGGAGGATAGTGGAGGATATATGAGTGGTGGTATATTTCCTTTCTGGCTGTTGGGTTTGGGAGTGCTTCTCGGGGAGTTGACACCTCCGTTTCATCAAACACAATGATCTTGGGAATACTCTTTTAAAAAAGCTTTGGTTTACACATTATGAGTTCTAATACGTTATGAGGAGGATTTACGAGAGTAAATTAGGATGGATAAATCATGTATATAACGGGCCCTTGGACGGTGGGTTGATCTGGGAATGAATATGTATGTTCAGGTATGGTGTCACTTACGGATGGGCTCTGGGCATGGTCAAGGGGCATGTAAAACATAGTCCGGCGGAGTTGAAATCATATTTATTCGATTCATACACAGCTTGATCCTCTGCTACTGGTAATAGTGATTGATTTACAAATGGGTAAACGCACCAGAGAGATGTGTCTTATCTATTGTTGTCATCCACCAACATTCTCATTGATCTATCTTTACAGACAACACCAACCTCTGATACAGCTTAAATATCTGACCACCTTGTTTGCCATAGTCTCGTCTCTATAGAACACGAATATCACCATCTCGACTACAAACTTTCCCGTCCTGCCTGCCAAACAATTTTCGAAATTCCACCAACAAACCCCCAATGATCTCTTCTGGTGAATATATCAAACGAAGCTAACGAGCAACTAAAGCTTTTTTTTTTTTCACGTCATTATAAACAACATAAAAGCAGCCAGCGTTTCTAGGCTAGGTTTCAAAGGAAGCAAGCGAGAGAAAAGATAAATTGATCTCAGAGTAGACGTTTTTTTTCTTTCCCAGGGCTAATGAAACATGTAGTATATAACCCCAAATACGAGCCACAATCCCCAACAACCAACCAAAACTACGACAGCTGATTTTCCAACAGTTGTAAACATCTTCCGTAGTATAGTGGTCAGTATGTGAGCTTGTCAAGCTTTGAAACATCAAAATCAGTTCGATTCGCTCGAGACCCGGGTTCAATTCCCGGCGGGAGAGACCATAATCTTTTTATTTTCTTCGGAATCTTGGTAAGATAAATTCGGTTTTGTTTTTGCACTGTTTTGGTGGAGTGGGGCCCTCGATCTCATTCAAACTCTATCTACTCTCTACATGTACATTGCATTTTAAGTTTTCTCTTCTTTTGGTGTATTTGTTACACTCCCTTGTTTGCTTCCTTAGTATCTCTCGTTTTGCCCGTGAGGTGTCTTTCTTGCCTGGGAAGGATCCCACTCAGGGGTTACTTATGATGGTGGCATTTGGAGTTGTTGATACGTGGGAAGGCGGGGGGGAAAAAAAAACACATTACATGATTGTATCTTGTTAAGTACTCGGGGGAAAAAATCGGGTGTGAGCCTAAATTTTGATTTTTAATGGCAAAGTTGAGAATACATTCATGAGACTACTCTGTGGGTAATAGAAAATTTGGGTATCATGATGCGCAAAGGAACAGTGACAGGACCGAAAATGCGACGAGATGGACCGTAATGACTAGGATGACGGGCTGACGGGACAAGAGCAGAAGAAACTATGACGACTGAGCCTGCGCTACCGCAGCTTCAGCCTCCTCTCTCTTTCTCCGTTCTTCATCCCGCTTCGCCTGAGCGGCTTTCAGCCTTGCCATGGTAGCCGCGAAGCCACCACCACCGGCTGCTGTTGGTTTCGCAGGCTCGCCCGTAGCAGGAGCAGCCGGTTCCTTCGTCGGCGCTGGTGCTGGCTGTGGTGGTGGTGGTGGTGATTGGGCTGCCTTGTTTTCGTCAGCCTTTGACTCTTCTTCTCGTGTCGTGTTGGAGGTGGAGGGGGGTTTGTCTTGATTGTCCTTGTCCTTGTCCTTGTCCTTGCCCGAGCCCGCTTTCTTGTCTGCCTTTTTCCTCTCCTTCTCTGCTTTCCGTTGGCGCTTTTCTTCGAGCTTGCGTTCTAGCTCGGCAATCTTGGAGTCGTAATCATCTCCGCCTCCATTAACGTTGACGTTGGCGCCGTCAGCTGCTGGAGGTTGTTCGCTACCGGTACCAGTACCACCCATCTTCACATCCTCCTCCTTCTTCTTCTGTCGTTCCTTCTCGGCAGCCTCGGCAGCACGCTCCCTCTCTTCCGCCTCCCTCATCAACCTCCTCCTCTCCTCCAACTTGGCCCTCCCCTTCCTCGCCATGGCCTCTACCTCCGCCGCCACTGCTTGTTTTCCCTTTTCCTCATCCACCCTTTGCCGTTTCGCCGCCTCTTCGCGCTGATGCAGCTCTTCTACAAGCTTTCTCCGACGCGCCGACATGGCGTCCAGTGTCGCCTTCTTCTGCAGGATGGCGCGCATGCCATTGTCGTAGGCGGCGCGCGCCTCGGCGTGGATAAGCACATCGCGCGCGCGCTCGAGCCGTTCGTAGAGCAATGGGTCGTAGGCGTCACCGGCTTTGTCAGGGTGCGCGGTCAGGGCTTTGCGACGGAAGGCGCGCCGGAGGTCGGCTTCGGTGGAGGTGGCGTCGATTGGAATGGACTCGGAGGTGAGGAGGGCGAAGAGGTCGTCGCCGCGCGAGGCGGCGTCGGAGGCGTATTTTATTAGTTCGTCGTTGTTCATGGTTTGTTTGTGGTCTTGCGGTGGAGATTGGTGGCGGGTAGTATGTGTTTTGCAGACGATGGTTTGGACTGTCGGGTTGGAGACCGGTCGGTCTGGGCTGGATGGATGGTGGATGACAGAAAAAGAGAAAGAAGAGAAAAGAAGTGGAAAGTTTAGGTAAGTGGACTGGATGGAGCCGGTGACGTTGGGTGGTAATCTTCGGCTGAAAAAATACTGTTGTGTGGTGGCAGGCCGGTGAAAGTAGCGTAACAGGATGTAATTACGTACCCTCGATTTTATCACCATCAGCCCTACACGACGATTCTTATGGGTCATCCCTTGTCATTTTCAGCTTTTCTCCTTCTCGCAACATTTTCAAGATCCTCACCAACTTTGACTGTGCCATGTCGGACAGTGCTCATGCTCATGATTCATCATTCGTTTTGACTCAACTAACTAACAAAGCAAGGTATAGGTTTCAACAAAGCTCCAAACGCCCTCCGCTCAATCTGACGCGCCATACGCGAATTTCTTATCGCTACCCTTAGTAGGTGGCAGCCAGCCTCTGCACCAGGTACTTCCCACTGTTGATACCCTCATACTTCTTCTCCGACTCGGCCGCATATGTGCCCGGGATGGCCTCAATGTAGCTCTTGTGATTGGGGTTGCAGAAGTACCTAAGGAGAGCTTTGGTCAGCTGCGACTCATTCAAGATCCAGGGGCAACAAGAGGCAACACTTACGCAATGCTGTATCTGGGCGGGTGAACGTCTTCTTGCTTAGGGGGCTCGACCACACGGTGGACGGTGCTCTTGATGGTATCATTGCTCCACCTAGCCAACAGATCTCCAGCGTTGACAACCACAGTGTTCTCAATCGGTGTCGCATCGATGAACTGCCCATTGGGACTCTTCACCTGCAGGCCACCACGCGAATCCTGGAACAGCAGGGTGATGGAGCCATAGTCAGTGTGCTCACCGGCGCGCACCTGGCCAGGGTTGACCTTGAACACCTCGCTCTTCACGGCCGGGTAGTGCAGCAGGCGCAGGATGTTATCACCCACATCGACGAAGCTGTCAAAGTAGTGGGCGTCGATGCCCATACCGACGGCAATGGCGCGCATCACCTCGATGTGCAGCGCCTTGCACTGGTCGAAGAAGTTGTTCATGGTGCTCTTGAACCCCACCAGCTCGTCTTGTTCCGCCGGCCACGGGTTTGGGTGGCCCGGCTCGTCTTCGCGGCCAATCTCATAGCTCTCCTTGATATCGGGGGCGGCTGATCGGATCTTCTCGATCTCGGCGGGGTCGGTCAACTGCGTCACCTTCTCGCGGCCGGGGGCTGAGTAGCCACGGTTGGCCTCGGGCGTGGTCCAGCCAACCTCGAGCTTCTTCTCCTTGGGGAGCTTGAAGAACTTGGCCGAGGTGTTGAAGACATGTTCGCGGAAATCGGGCTGGATGGGGATGTTCTTGAGGTAGATGAACCCAGCTGTCTGGAAGCCGTGGAGGATCGCCTTGGCCGTCTCGAGCTTTAGGGTTTCGTCTCCCTCTAGGAACTTGGAGAAGTCGATGAGCTATTCGACGGGTTAGTTGCCCCCAAAGACAGGCAGGCACTGGGTGAGTAGCAATGGCTATGTCCCAAGGTGTAGCATACCGGGATGACGAGTCCGTCTTCGTTAACAGCAGCCTTTTCCATCTTGATTTCTATACTTGGGTTTTTCTCTCGTGTTGGAACTGAGCACGCAAAGAGTTCAAAAGTCAACAAGCTGTCACGGGCGGGGTATCACAGGCAATTAAGCAGAATAACAAGGCCAACGAGAGAGATAAGCACAACCACGGAGGTACAGACTCTATCGAATGTTCTTTATCGGATATTGACCCGATATATCACCTTTATCGGTGGCGGGCACGAGTGCTTACGGGCAAGTGTATCGCACCCCGAGACTCGATCTCGAGTTGGGTTTAGTTCAAGCTGGGATCTGTCGCTGCATGCAACGATAGCATGACCGAAACGGGCAGGCAACGGCCACTCCGCGATCGCTCTCTGATTGCGTTTGCTTGATGTCAGTGGACAGCGTTGGAGATGTAGTTGCAGTATGTAATCTTTTTCTCGCCTTCCAGAAGGGGTGTTTCTGCTTACAAGTCGTTCTTATTAAATCCCCACTTCCCATGATAAGCTTGTCTTTGCCCCCTCTCGGCTTTGTTACACTGTCGCATTCTACGATAACGACGGAATGCGGGGGGAAAGGGAAGATCAAGGGCGGGGTATTGAAAACACAACCAACATCTTTCTTTTCGTAGTGTAACGCCTGTTCGTCATTGTTTTAGTTTGGTTGCCAAGCAACTGTCCAGCGGTATTGTCTTTTTTGTTTTCTTGTTTGTCCTTTCTTGTCTTGCTGTCCTACTTTACCAACCTCATTATACAACACCACATCCAAGTATCACCACCACTGAAGCTTGACCATCCCCAAGCTTCACGATCACTCCCCTCATTACTGAACTCCAAAACACGGAAACCCCTATTCTCTCCCCTCACCACCACCACCACCACAATCCATCACCATGGGTTTCGGCGACGGCAAAGTAGTGGACATCCACACCCACATGTACCCGCCCGAGTACGTCAAGATCCTCGAATCCCGCACCTCCATCCCCCTCGTACGCTCCTTCCCCGGCTCCCCCGACCCGCGCCTCATCCTGCTCGACACCGAGGTTCCCATCCTCGAAGAAGCCGAAGCGGCTAAAGCACGGGGTGTGACGCCCGCCAACATCCCCGGCCGGCCCTTGACCAAGCACTACTCCTCCCTCAACCAAAAGAT